CATACGCACATACATACACACATACACACATAGATACATAGATACATACATACACACATACACACACACATACATACATACATACATACATACATACATGCATACATACATACATACATACATGCAACAATATGTGCATTCAGCCAGTCAGTCAGCCAGCCCAGGCAGCCAGCCAGCCAGCCAGGCAGCAAGGCAGGCAGGAAGGGGGCAGGTCAGTCAGTCAGTCACTCAGGCAGCTAGGTAGGCCGGCAGCCTGCCAGGCAGCCAGCCAGGCAGGCAGTCAGTCAGTCACACACATACATCCAGACATGCATACCTTATTCAAACAAACCCCATAGACATATATATATATATATACACATATATATATATATATAGATGTGTATTTATCTATTTATTCTTGTATTTATTCATTTATTTATTCATGTACTTGTTTTGTGTACACATGTACAAATGTGTCACCCCCGCCGGCCGTGAAGCGTTGTTCAAGCAGGTTTATCTCATGGTGGCTGATCACCGAAAGAGCAGGGATGCAATTATACTGTGCACTTCACAGAGATGGAGGTGATGTTCTGCTATGTTCCGCTCGTGGCCAGAGGCAAGCGAGGTCGAGCGGAAGCGACGAAAGACACCCAAAGCGCTTAATTGTATATGTATGTGCACACACGGCGACCAAAGATATGCAGATATGCAGATGACAGATATACCGTCACTTGGACAGAAAGATGGAGAGCGGATGACGCAGATACGCAGATAAAACGATTGAGTTCTGGACGTCGTCGGCGTCGGCCCTGCCCAAGGAAACTTCGAGGACAATGTCGTGATGCTTCGCCCGAACACACCCGAAGCCTGACGGCATCTCTTCCATGGGCGGCATCTGGCCAGGAGACCCCTCCTGGTGAAGTCAGCCCGAGATCTTGTGTTGCCACTCGCGCGTGATTGCGTCCTCCAAGTCTGACGGTTCCTCTGCACCTCATAGCCAAATCGCTGTCGACAACACACTGCCGAATTACACATGGAAATCGCTACTTCACAACAGCAGAAACCAACGCAATAGACTGCTACGACTGCGTCTGAAGCATAAGAGGGCCGCAATGAGCTACACAGGTTCGGCATCTCATATTTGAGGCAGCGCTGTCTTCTGTTCAGCTCAGCCAACGACCTTTCGCCAACACGGTCCCCTGCTGAAGGTCTTGGGCCTGGCAAAGTCGGTGCAAGTGACTTTGCACTCTTCTGCCACGCTGCCCCAGGATGGCCCAGGCCTGCACTGCCCACTCCTCCGAGACGGCATTCTGAACCTGGCAAGAACCCTGCAGGGGCCGCCTGGGACGAGTGTTCAGCACGAAGTTAATGAAGCCAAGGGGCGACCGCCACAATGAGCAAGCAGCAGTTTGCTGCTCCGACTGCCACACTGAACATCACGAAGCCGTGCCTCACAGACCAGTGTGCGACGGCATACCATACAAATCTCGCAAGATGCCAAGCTTCCACGGCTGAGTATCTCTGGCCAAACATGAGAACTTACAAAAGAAGGGCGACCCAGAGATTGCTCGTGCAAGTCCAGAACACACAAAGAACAGCAGAGATACCAGATTGCGCAATTGTGCCAGGCTGGGGCACGGGCGGGGCCGAGGCACTCATCAGGAACAGCGATTGTATGCAAACCTGACGGCTTCTGATAGCAGCCCTTTTTGCCACTGCCACTGCAGTTTGTCACCGCCCTGCGCTGACTACAGAGGTCAAAAGGAAAGCAAAGGAGATGAAAGGGGACGGCACTGTCCACGCCTGGGCGATGTCCCCGATGGCTTTCTCCAGACCTCAGCCACGGCGCGATGTTGCGCAGCAGGACTTCTACTGCTCGGCACTCCAATGCGCCGGGATGTTGAGTCTGCGGCTGACCAGGTTCCCAGATGATCTGAGCGTCACTGGCTTTGCCTGGACATTTACAACTTCCGAGATACAGCGACCTCCCGAGCCGTTTTTCCAACATGCACTGTCTTCTATATCCTTGTAGGCATCTGTCTGCTGACGCGGGCACATATGCTGACGGGCAGAGCTGGGCACCAAGCCACTGGAAGATCAGAAGCATCCGGGTCAAAGGGCACCACCGCGCGAATGGCGGTGTTGATTAGCTGCACAGGCCACTCAGGCTCAGAAGCATGCTGGCCTTCTCTACCACTTAGCAGGTTCACTCCCTGCATTAACCGAGAAGTGTTCATCTCGCCAGAGCTCCTGCACAGCCTGCGGAAGGCCCCAAATGCATCTCGCAGCCCGACCTTGAAATCGAGCAGCACGAACCCAAAGGAAGCTGGCAGCTCCCCATCGCAGTCCGAGCATGCGAAGCACGTATTGAAGATCATCTGCCATCAACGGCCAGCTCAGAGTCAAGTGCGTGCAGCGAAGCCTGCAGATATCCGCCTGGCAAAACACCACGCCAAAGATGATGGTAGCCAGAGATCTTAGTTGTTCGGTGCATATGAACAATCGAAAGAGCCGAAAGAGCACAGGTACAAGAGCCCTGCTGAGAGTCTTGCGCCCACCAGAGCGACGAACCACAGTCACGCGCAATGATGACGAAAGCCACATCGGTGTAGCTGTCCAACTGTCAGACCATCCAACACAGGCACCACATGTTGCTGAATGGGGCTGCAGCAGGGGCTTGCCGCACCTTCCACAGCACTGTAGAAGCCAATGGCAGCCACCACCGCCGTGCCTGTCAAAGAGCTGGGTGTTGGCTTCCCTTGCATATGCTGTACGCACAACCTAGTTACGTGCTTGTGATTTTTGCTTTGTCAGCGGCATTGCATATGTGCGAAGGGCAAAGGGAGATGTCAGCTAGCCTGCCAGAATGACCACAACTCGCTGGCCTCTGCAAACGAAGACAGGCTTTGAAGCTCTTCGGTTCCCGTGGCCATAGGCGAGTCTAGCCTGCAGGAGTCCGAGCCGCTGGAGCATGGCCAGCTCCATCAGGATGGCCTTTTGTTTCAGACTCAGCTGCAAGGCAAATTTGAAATTTCAGCAGGCCCTGCCATCGTCAGCATTGCCAGAACCGTTGCACCATACCTGGAGCCAGAGCACAGGCCTTCTTGGCAGCCCAGCTGTTAGATCCGAGAGTCTGGCAGAGCCCAGGCCCAGTAAGGCATATTCGCCTCGCACCTGCGAGACAGATCAATTGAGGTCGGGAACTTGTAAAACACACCCAAGAAGTTATGATGTCAGTGGCTTCCACGCAGTGAGTGTTTGCAGCACTTGCAGTTCTGAACCACGACAATTGCAATCCTCTCTGTCGTGCAACAACGCTCTGGTGGCATACACGACCGAACATGCGGCCCGATGCACACCAGTCAACATCCCTTGGCCCTGGCCTGTGATGATCAAGGAAAACTGCAGGGACGACTGTGATGGCGACCTTGGCAAATCGCAGAAACTGCAACTGATGCTTGCTCCCGTGAGCCAGGAGTCATGCCCACCAGCAAAGGTGGTGGAGAGCCAAGCTTTGAAGAAACCTGCCGGCTGACGACTCTTGCTTCTCTACTTTGTGCGTGCATACGTTGGGTTGAAGCCAAGTCTAAGTGTGTCGTTTACCAGCCTGCTGTACCCGCCCGCATTGTTGCAAAGCTCTTCCATGAACGCTCTGGAAGACATGCCGGATCCTCAGAAAACTGAAGCGGAACTGACTTGAATCTGTCTAGGACCAATCAAGGGTGCAGCGGGCCGTGCAAAGTTCCATCCCATTCCTGTCAAAGGCATGGGATGTATTATTGCACACAACTTGAAAAAGTTAGAAAGTGCTTCAAAACTGGAAGTTCCTTTCTGGGGTCTTAGGCTCTGCACTGTGCTTCGCAAGATGCCACCTTGCCCTGCCGCCCCTGTGGCCTTGGAGTTCGCACTCCTTCCAATGCGCATCCGGCAGTGCCGTCCCTGTCAAGTAGACAGTGCATCCTCGACGGTACCGAGTGTAAACGGCACAAGATGCACAATGTAAGCTGAAAGGCCATGGCTTGCGCACCTAGTGTTTCTGCAAAAGGGCTGACATCTTGTCAGCCCTGCAAGGGCTGCCTCTGCCCAGCGGCTACGCACAAAGGCAAGACTTGAGTCGATGTGATGATAGGAGCTGTGTATGTGGCGTTTGGCTGAGGCTGTGGTCTCAAAGCCAGTGCTGTGTGTCGATGCTAGTAGAGGACGAGATCTGGAGCAGCAAACAAAAGACAAAGTCTGCAGCCCAATCGATCATCATACGAGAGCGCCTCTGAGCTACGTACGGCGTCGCCTGAACATCTATGGGTATGAGTTGTACTCACTTCGTTTTGACTCCTCAAGCCAATACAGCTGCGAATGAACCCTGCGGCTGCCAAGCACACAGTTCATGTGCGACAGCAGAGGCAAACAGCCAGCCCACATACTGTCACACACACTCCGTGCCCCTTCATTCGCATAACTTCATTATTGCTGTTGAAAGGCTCTCTCAGCTACCAGAAGGACCAAGTAACAAAGCGCAGTAGGCAAATCCCGCAGTCGACATGGCAAAGCCCGGCATTTGCTGCTCTCCGCAGCCATGTCCACGTCGGCTTCAAGGCCCGAAGGTGTGGACAGGACCTGCCAGCAGGGCCGACAAAAGACAACCGATGCACCAATGAGTGTCGCTCTCTGCACTTCTTCAAATGCCCAGAGATCAGGAGACCCTGGCTGCAGCAATCCAACGGCAGCATAATCCACACATGTGCGCCTGGCTGCAACCGCCCCGGAGCACACCACGCTGCAGCGCACGGTAGGGAACCTGGAGAAAACCGATTTCACTTCGAAAGTGTTCTCGTGCGCTGTCTGTGTCTCGAAACTTCCTGCAGGCCGTCGCTTCCATCTTCTTTCCGAACTTTCCGAAATTCTGGAGAACAGCACAGGCCCGTTCTGGCCTCTGTCAGGCTCTGATTCGCCTTCTCCCCACGAAGGCCGAGCACGGCGGCAGCATTGGCCAAGTCGCCAGGCGACCTGCGGACGGCAAACTGTTTCGCCAAATCCTCGGCACGTGTCACGGCTGGGCCTCATCTCCAGCGGGTCAAGGGCGCCACTGCTCAGCAGTACGTTCCTTCCGGGCATCGAGATGAGATCATATTCCAGCATGGCGCAGCACAGCGTCTTGCAAAAGGCAGCAGCAAGATCGTCTGAAAAACTTGTTCAAATATGGAATGCGTACGGGGAAAAGCTTCATTGCCCCTCCTGCCGCGCGTCACGTGGAGAAGCTGCTCAAGGTTGGCCAGGAATGCCCGGCGTCGAGCTGTCGCAATATGCGGAACGTCTCGCAAATTTACTTCGGATAGAACTGCCTGCAACATCTTAAACCGCTGTGAAGAACTTGGACACCAAGCTCTGCTTGGACTCAAGGACAAACCAATCAAGGTGCCCGCTCCGAAGGAGCAACTTTTGGAACACGAATGGGCCACAGTACCCATTTTCAGCAAGGCAGCACATGCTCGTGGCACCTCACCCCTTCCGCCAACCCTGGCAAGCGCCGGCCTGCACCCCTGGCAGCTTTCCTCCCGCCTCATGAAATCCTCTTTCAAGCCTTCGAATCCTCTCATTGCGTTTGATCGTGTGATATGAGCGAATCCGTGACTCCGAGCTTTCCGGGTGGCCCGGAAGCGAGACGGATATCACTGAAGTTCTCAGGCCATCTCACGCCTTGTGGAGGCTGCACGCAGCAGATAGAAAGACGCGTAGGTTCGAAAGGGGCCTTTACTAGCACTTGAGAAACTCTTGCCTCTGGATCCTCTAGAGTCAGAGTTCAACACGAACCAGAGCAATGCTGACGTCTAACACTGCCATGGTGCTTCTGCTTCAGCAGTGCCCGAACTCTGCTCTCCTCTCCTCTGGGCGGTGAACCTGCATCACGAAGAACACTCCCAAACTCCAACCTCGTCACACACTCTGTCTGCACTCTTCGCGAAAGAATGCATCGTGACTGGCCATGGGTCAGTCTCAGCTACGGGCTCAAAGATGCCACCACGATCTGAGAGTCTACGCTCTCGACTGACGACACCTTCAAAGAACGACAGTTGCTGAGGTTGTGGCGCAGGAAGGCCAGCACATCCTGCAAGCTCAGAGATAAGAAGCAAGAACACAGTCACGGCACTCGGCAATCTGAGCCTTCATGAACCAAACGAGCGAGATCAAGATCGAGGGAAGCAGCTCTCATGACTGAGCACAAAGCTCAGGCTTGAACAATAGCCTCCAACAACCCGTTCTTGATTTGCTGCAGCTCAACGTTGGGCATCCATGTCAGTTGTGCCATGCACCCCCTGCACCCTTGACACGCCGGAGCCTGTCCTTTCTCTTCAACTGAAACGGAAGTTTGTCGTCCATCTCCAGAGAGATGATGTCGCACACACCCTGACATTACAAGATCACGCCTAGAGGTGCAAGAATCCTGCTAGTGGCTAGTGAAAATGCGCATCACCAACTTGCGCCCGGCCTTCTCACAGGCAGCCTCGCACATATTCAAGATCAACTTTGCAGGTACTGCCATGGATGTCTCTCCACATTCTTGAGAAGCAAGTCCCAAGCTGGCAGGGCGTGGCCTGGAACGCTTCCTCAGAAGTGGGACGCAGGGCGAGGATGTGGTAAGTTGGCCTGAGAGTTGCCGCAGATGTTCATGCACCGGCTGACCATCGAGCAGGACTCTTTAAACTTGTGCGGCTCTGCCTCAAGGCTGACACATCGGCTGCAGCAGTCACCTAGTATGAACAGCTCACCAGGACGGCCCATGATGGGTTGCTGTAATTGAGCGGTTGGTCATCGTTGGAAAGCGTGATCATATGCAACCATCACATCCGTCACGTGCACATCCTACCCAGAAAGCACAGTCCTGCGGCGAAGCACCTGCGCCACATCGGAGGCACAAAGCGTCAATCCTGGCATGGCCAATGGAATATGGAGTATCAGAAACACTGTACTACATCAATCTTGCTTTTTCATTCCTAATATAAGCAAACACCATCGCAGAGGTTCTGCATTCTCTGACACCTGAACAAGATCACAAGTCGCTGCGACAAGGAAGTCCAAAGTGACACTAGACACCGGCCAACAGGCTCGAATCAGGTCAAACAACTGAAGTTTCGGGAACACCAGCCGAAAGTGCGTCGTAGCTGAAGCAGTGCCCCGTGCTTCTCGCTGTCAAGGCCTGCGAAGGGCTACACTAACGAATCTGCCGGTTGAGGACTGGGCAGGGGCTGGGCACCGAGGTCCGCCACCGCCGTCCGCCAGAGTGGTCCCTGCCTGCGGTCCAGAACGGATGCAGCTGTATGGTCTCAGCTGATGCCCGGCACGTCTTCAGCTCGGGGCCGCACTGTGTGGGAGACAGGGCCACTGGCGGCGGGATGGGGCACCTGAAGATACTGCAACCACACCCACCGAATCTCGACTCGCTGAGCCACCAACGGAAAGTCGTGAATACGTCGTTGAAACTCAATCGGTTCTGCTTCTTGTGGGAACGCGGTCTGAATCTGGCCCCGAAGTTTGCCAGAGTTGTGTAGAATCTTGGGCACGGTGGGAACACCCTGTTGTACTGGCTGCGTTTAGGGAATCTTCTTGCTTGTCTTTAAGTCCCGTCTCTAACATGCCTAGTTTTTGTGGACCAAGACATGCAACGGTCGTTTCTAAGACATCAATACCCCAAGTTTGTTGATAGTTGCAGCACCTTCTGCATAGCATGTACATCACGGCCCAGACATGTTGTTGAAGACTACAGAATTGACAAATCTTGGTTACCTGGCAGAGGCACACTGCTTAGTGAGGCAGAGGCAGCGAGAGCATTTGGTCCAAAACTGTGCATTCTGACATGGATGCACTGCTCACTGCCACAACCCGAGAGCATGCCTTGCCCAATTCTCATCACTCTGAATCTCAAAGCCCGATGGGTGGTTTTCTCTCGACAGCCATCGCGTGCACAGGCACGGAGGGACGAAATCCATGGACGCGCTTCTGCTGGTGCCTCTTGTGGCACCAGCTCAGCGCTGCTAGACAGTCGCCGGTGAGCTCGTGTGGAAGCAGAAGAGGTGCCGGTGAGGTCAATCTGCCGTTGATGTTGAGATTCGAGGCCACAGCAGCGCTGCCGGCGGCCCCAGAAGGGACGCATTCGCCTCTTGAGCTCAACCTTGAAGCAGGCCTCGGATCTCCTCGAAGGAAGGTAGCTCTTGAGGCTCGGTGCTGGCACAGCGCTGGCGAAGCTCCTCCGACAGTGCTATGCCTCGTGAGAGTGACATGGGGGTGTTCCTAAGAGCAAAGCATCTCCTTCAAGAGCTCGAGAGTCGCCGCTTCTCTTTCGTTCTGTGCTTCCGCATGGCTCTCCAACAAGTCTTGAAGCAGCCAGCCAAAGCTTCTGACCTCCAACCTGACGACGTCTTAGCACCGGAACAAAGTAACCCTCAGTCGTGGAACTGTGCAGAAAGCCTCTAACTCCAGAGTTCTTCTAGAGGATTCCAGAGGAGTGTCGATCTTCCGAAGCAGAACGCAGGCTGTGACTTTCTGGCCACACTTTCGAACTCGCACAAATGCTTCTGATATGAAGGACGCCACGTGAGCATGCAAAGACCTGATGAATGCGCTCTGGATCTTCGTGCTGACTAGCGAGCGAAAATGAGCGAAAGACTGCG